TCTCATCTCAGATAGAACTCATTGGCTAGGATACTGCCACTGCGCAAAGCTCGCAGATTCCTTTCCAAGCAAGTGTGGTTAGAATTTACATATTGTCCAGTTTCAGGTATAGATGCCTCTGACCATTCAGTGACCTTGCTACCTGGTGGGAGAAGTCAGTATTGCAGCAACACTCCCAGAAAATAATTTGACTACTTTTTGGATATTTTCTGGGAAAAAATTTGGTTTAACTTTGCGTAGACTCAGGCAGAGAATATAGCACTATGGTCCACCTGTACAGGGAGATTTTGGCCTGTGCATCTGGAAAGCAGGCTCATCTACTCACCAGGCTTCATCCAGGGCACCCTAGAATCTTCCTGTCAGAATCTGTATTCTTGCCCTGAGAACAACTCTGTGCTTGTGCTGTTAGTAGACACTGATTTGGTCCTATGTGATCTGTGATTTGCTTAATGTGACCTGCTTCTCTAAATTTATTTGCAGAATGTCAACGTGATGATGAGGAAGAGGAAGAAAAAGGGCCAGTGCCCCCCAGGTAATGCTGTGGAGTTGTGGGCTGTTAGTTCAGTAGTGACATGTGGAGACTGCAGATCCTGGAAAAACGAGGAAGTGATGACTAGAACTCTTTCTTCCCTTCACCCAGCTACAAATTGTCGTTACTGACAATGTTTTTCATGATATCTGACACTTTTATATGTTTTGATTTCTTAGTCCTCCCAAGATAGGAACCTGCCATCAGATGAGCCAGGTGAACTCAGCAAACAGTGATTTCCTGGTTTCGCCTGTTCTCTCCCATGTGTTTAAATCCAGGGAGAGGCGCTTATATTGTTTCTGCGTATTTCTTGTTATCATGTTTGCTAGGATTTGTGAAGAGAACAAATTCAAAAATATACATATGATATCAAAATAATGGAAAAGGGAGGCCTTTAATAGTCAAGGTCTGGGTGTCTGAAATGCCTCAAGAGCTGTGTTCACTTGAATGCCGCATGTAATATTCAACACAACTTCTGCGAGGTAGTTGAAGCCCCGTGTTAGTTCTCGTGCTGCAGTTCATGATGAGAGTTACAGGGAGTCTGGGTGGCCTGCAGTGGCTCATCTGTGCAAATGCACTGAGCACCTGCTGCTCATTTGTGCTCTGTCCCCAGGGTAGTCTCCCTCTGCCCTGCATTTAGTAGGATATTGTTTTTTTCCTCTTGAAGGAAAAATGCCTTTGCTTTCTGAGACCACTCCATTCTGACTTCCATCAGATCAGCTGGGAGACTTTGTTGTCTAATCTCTGTTGGTTTAATCTTCTGTCATCCTGTCCTGCCTGGCTCATCAGGAATCTGCAGGAGTCTGTGGAGGAGGAAGCACCTCAGGAGTCCTGGGATGAAGGTTATTTGGCTCTCTCACTTCCTCCTGGCACATCTGCCTTCAATGAGCCTTACTGGAGCAACTTGCACTCATTAGAGGAGCAGGAAGTCGATTTGGCTGGTGACATAGACAGTGAGTACTCCACTGTGAAGGTGATAAAGCTCCACTTTCTGTCCCAGATAGACCCCATAGCCTTTGTGCATTGCTCCCCTGGCTGGGCTGAGAGTTGTCATCACTGTGGGCTGAACCTGTACATCAGTGTAGATTTCGATCATTCTGGATTCCAGTCTGAAGCACGGACATGGGGTGGGTCAGTGAGCTTTGCTTTCTCTCTAGTCTCAGGCCGTGCCCGTCGCACCCTGGACCTACTGTCAGGACATTGAAACCCAAGGCAGGTGTTGCACTCACACCAAGCTATGCAGTGCATGCCCACGAGTTGTCTGTCAGTCTGAATTCAATGTCTCTTGCCAGCTACCAAGTTCCTCATGAGTTTTGTTCCCCACGCATGTCTGTGAGGTTCTTCCCTGCTTGTACAAACTTGGTGTAACTGTTTGTACCAACTTG